GGATTTCACCGTGGTAACTTTAATATTAGAATACTTGAATTATGCGATCAATATTAATACTGCCAGTAACAAAGTACGTACAGCCCTCTAAATGATTCAACTAGAATTGGCGAGTCGGCAATGCATATAATTGTACGTCATGGTTACAACACTCAGAGGAAAACGTAATGGTCCTATTTGAAAACTGTCGGTTCTAACAAATGCACTAATTACTTCCGTTAATACAAATTTTCCGTGAAATGCACAGATTCGTAATATATGTGTACATAATAGATGACGCCAAAGATCTGTTCGTGTCCATGGAAACACATTTTTTTGTATTTTGCCTGTACTTCGCTTGAGTGAACATTTTTAAGTACAACATGATCGAATTGTTGTGATACTAGTATATAGCATATTTGAATTAGTGAAGTCTATCATCGTGTTGGACGAATTATGCGATAAAGATAAAATAAGCTCGGAAAAAGTGTTCGAGAGAATAAAGAAAATTTCTTAAACAGGTAAATTAAAACCAACCATATTCACCATTTCGTTGCTAAGCAATTTGAGATCCTATGAATCTTGCTTTGTATGAATCATCATGCTATCTTTCTATAAAAAACTACGAGATATGTATATTGAAAATGATTCCTATATCGTTTTATCGTACCTAAGATAACCCAATTGCTACTGAATCATTTATAGTAATGCAATACATTTGAATGAAATTCGCAGTGTATAGGTTCCGTGATCACTACGCTGACGCTATCTTCTGACAGTGAACATTGTCAATGTTCACCCATTGAAGACTCACTTAAGAATTTCATCATTCTGTCTGTCATTCAAAATTAATTTGTGTTGTCAGGTAATTAATAAGTAACATCAGTGATCAAACTACTTATACCAAAGATGACAGTGACGGAATCGTCTTGTTAGTTTTATTAGAAAAAATAAGAGAGCTGAATAAACCTGACTGAATATGGAGACTTTTATAAAGTAATGATTTACCTTGGAAGTCAATTGAGGTCAAGTTCCCTGCTGCGTAGATTGAGTAAATTTGTATTTGACTTTCGTTTGGGAAAACATGATGATTCTATCTTAGGCATGCGAAAACACGAAGTCAATGATACATATATGATTAGAAACAAATATGATATGGTGCGCTGGAACCAATAATGTGGCGTGTTTATGATTCGAACGCAGAACAGAAAATGGAGTAATTTTAAGTTGCCGTTCATTAAATTTTTATTACACAATGTACATAAAGCACCGAGAGAATCGAATGGGCCAAACAATACTTATTCATTGTTCGGCATATTTCAAAAATGAATTTTTCGAACCCTGCGAATGGGCTGAATGTCGGCCATTTTGTTTCGCGTACACAGTTGACCGAACGTAAATCAACAATCTCGTGTCAACGTCTAGTTTTCCTGACACGAAGAATTTCATATATTTGTCCTACGTTTTTTCTGAAAATGCTATTAATGTATAGATGCGTATAGCTTTCTGCAAATGTTATGACACTGGCACAGTAATAGACAAACTCGCTATTAACATACATGCTGTAGACAATGTCCACGTGAAATATAACTCAATACAACGCTAACCGGTAAAATTATCTTACATAGCTGGCTCCATGCATGGCCTTGCTGATCTCCGCGTGGTGTTACGCCTGAAACGTATAGAAAGCTGAATAGCGCCCTCAGGTGGAGGGGAGCGAGTGCCTGAACTGATTATTATTTTTTTTTTTTTTTGAAATTCATACTCACTCAATCGACGCCTCATAATTAGTTTTAGATATGACAGGTAATAACAGCGGCTTCATGTGGTTATGGCAATGCCGGCGGATCGTGTAGCTAACGAGAATTCCGTTGCTTTCAAGGCTCGTCACGTGTTATGACATTAGCATAAACATAGTTGAACTCTGGTGACCTTGCCCTTTGTTATATAATATAATTCCCTTTAACATATTTTGTTTCAATATAAATATCATTGTCATAATTAATTTTGAATACTAACAAGTTTTGGGGTTGAACCAACAGTGGGGAATCAGTCTACCGAATGTCCTTTAAAGATGTAAATATCTTACAAAAACATTGGTGCCTCATTTGTTTAATTATTTTAAGGGACAT